ACGAATCCATTACCGGCGGTCGCGACGATCCGAAGAAGGTAGGTTCTTGATCGCGTAAAAAAATACAAACACTTTTGCCGCGAAATCTCCGCTGAAACTCATTACCGAATCTGTGTTTGAGATAACGCGCTGGCAGCTACCGAAGTTAAGCAAATATGTATAAACATTTCGTTATCGGTTTCGTACGATTTTTCATACGTTTTAATACTCGTATCAAAAATCAAATATCTAATGACATAACACCTGGATCGCGATTATCTCACCATTTTATCCTACTGCACCTATACGAGCTTAATCCGATCTTAATCACTTTCGCTGGTTCTTCTCTCCTTAAGACTGTCGTTACGGCGGAAGCGTTTTTTCGAACATTATCGTAGCGTGCTCGCCATCCTACGAATTTCTTATTTTTTTCTTTTTCTACCAAAGTATTTCCATTTACGCGATTACGTTCGACAACGTTACCGTTCGTAAGTTTCATTGTTAAGTATACGTTTGCTCGGAGGCGATTAGTCGTAAGTTGAGCGTTATCACTCTCCGCGGAGCCGTGTTCGTCCGCATCTCTTTCTTTTCGAACGTCGAGTTGGAATAACGCGTAACCGTGAACGGTCGTGTGTCGGCTCGAGGTCGGAAGAATCGACGCGACCGCGACGGAGCGATTCAGCGGGAGAGAAGAAGAGAGAGAGAGAGATTAAAGGTGACGAGAACGGTGGCGTAGGAGGAAATTGGAACGATGCGGTGGTAGAAACCGAGAGAGAGCAAACTGTCGGCAAACTGTATTTACCGTTGTTGCGAGCCGAGCCGAGGGTTGCGTTTGCTCTCCCGGCTAACTTCCCTAACGATCTCGTGGTTCTACTCGTGTTTTCCTTAAATACAGCGAAACTCGGAGATAAGCCGAAACCGGTTAAACCGTCGTCGCGTTTCCTTCGTCTCTTGTTACCGCGGCTGATCGTTTAATCTCGCCGAGAAAGTTTCTTCGCGAAATTCCTTTTGTTCTTTTATCCGCTGGATAAAAGCTGGACCGCTACCGACCTTTTATTAGCTACGCGATAATTTAGATAGAGAAATTTAGTCGTTCGGATGGGGCACTCGAAACCGCTATCGAAATTACGTTATTTCGGGACGAAGTAAAGGTAGAAACAACTAGTTTCGCTGGTTTAAAGATGACTCGGAATCGATATCGTTGGTGGATCGCGAGGATCGGGCGAGAATGAAAGATCGGACGAGAATCGTTTCGCTGTGCGTAAATGTAACATTTATTTCGGCATAAATTATGACGATAGATACATATAGATTAAGTATAAATACAAAATGAATTGACTGTAGACAGGACCGTAGTGAAAATACGTGGACGCGGCAGCCGCGCGTCGCGGTATCGATACTCGATTCGTTCCGCTCGCTTCCGTTTCCCGGAGAATCGAAAACGACGCGCGGCGATTTGGTCGTTTTTCTCTCGGCCCGCTCGCTGGCGGAACGGCGTTGGGCCAGGCCGTTCGACGTTTCTCCGGGGAAACGGAAACGTGGAAAAAAGACATTCGCTGGCGGAGAATCGCGTTCTTTATAGAAAATACAAAAAGTCTCCTCGAACTTTCTGAGCAACGACTTCTCGCAGGCCTCGTATCGCCAAATCTTTACTTACCCCTGACGCGACGTTCGAGAACATACCGCAAATCTATACAGGCATTTGATTTTGCGCGATCACCGAAAAAGTCGCGCGAGCTTATTCTCTTTTCTCCTCGATTTCGCCGAGTTTCCGAAACGTCCGAAGCGCTCGTAACGCGTCGACGACGTTCTTTGATTCCGTCTGTTTGATTAAACGAAGGAGGATCGCGTAATCGGAAGCAAAGGACGCGTTTCGCTTTTAACACCGAATTAGAGAACGCGACGCGTTCCTCCGAGCGAATTCGAAGCTGCATCAGCCTCGTATTCGCGCGCGCGTAGCTGTCTCGTACGCGGAAGCAAACTCGAATCCGTGCCCAACGGAAAGCAACGGTTCGACAAAATATCGCGCCGCTTGTCGCTACGTGCGTCGTCGTAACCTACTTTTCGTATATTCTATACGTAACATATACAATATATACGTATATGTATGTATACACGTGTATAGTTTATTATTTTTTTCTTCTTTTTTTCTTTTTACGAACCGTTTCACGATTAATCAAGATCACAGCCATAGCTTTGAATACGAATCTTTAGTTCGTATTTCTTTTAAGACCGATACAATTACAGCTAACGATCCGTTTGATGATAATCGTAAAGATACAAGTTTTAGATTTCCTACCGACATCGTTATAACTCTCTAAAGTAGCTACACATCGACAACAACGAGATTCGAATGACGATCGTCGTTCTAGATACGGGACGAGAAAGATTTCCTGGACTAGATAGAGCGCACGAATAAATTGGAACGAAATCGAACTAGGCGAGAAGCTTACCGACTATAATCTACGAGGCGTTCTTCTATCGTAGCTAATTACTCGAATGTACGCGGGGGACAACGATAAACTGGATACTGGTAATTCGAGTGTTAGGCGAAGCTCTACTACGGTGTTCGAACGATAAGCGGAATTTCATATGCGTACGAAACGTATATCCTCGTCGTTTCCGACGACGCGACGGCCACTGGTCGATACGATTTGTTCGCGTTACTTTGCCGCTTAGAAAAAATAAAATTTCCCGTTCGCTGGAGCAGCAAACACGCGATTAACCGAGTCGCGTCGCGTCGTTCGGAAACGGAAGCTAAACGAACGAGAAAGAAGGAGGAGGAGGAGGACGACGACGACAACGACCATGATAACACGATTACGATTACGATAACGATCACATCGAACTTTCTACGATCGCTACGACACGTCTACGTCGCTAAACTTTCCTACTGTAGGAGCATACGTAGATACGTTAATTGATCGTGTTTCGCTTTCCATCGTAATCGTCGAACGATTTCGAATGGAAAACGAGCAACGTCCTAAAGACAAACTACAGAGACCCGTCGCGCAGTTTGACGAAGATGAGACGTCGCTTCTCTTTCGATCGCGAAAAAAGCGTGCGTTCGTGGGTCACAGCTACGGCTAAGTAGTTAGGAGGGACCGTGATATCGGACGTACGTGTTCACTCGAACTGCTGAATCTACGAATCCATATTCGAATCTAAATCGGCTACTCGAAACGAAGCGAACACATATCGAAGTCGTGGCGAGGACGAGAACGCGTCTACGGTTTCTGCGAGCGAGTATTTACCGTGTATTTCTAACGGTCGAGAGTCGACCCGAGGCTTTTTCCTCGCGGGGATGCGACTCGGTCGCGAACGAGTTCGACGAACGATAGGAAAATTTCTCGAGTCGCTTCCAAGTCTCGGACCACTATGCGAGCGAATAACAAACGTTTACGAACGATCTGGACTACGGCTAACGACTAGAATCGGTTACGCGAAACGCGCGCTACGTTTCGACGCTGAATCGTCTGCGGCGTCGAGCGAACTAGCGGAAGGCTCGTTCGTCGAAAGGCGTTTAGTTCGCAGGCTGTTTTCGTAACGGCTCTCTAGTCGGTGATTCGGCGGAAAACCTGTTAGGAAAACTAGCTCGCGAACAGCGAAAGGAAGAACCGGCAATCTGGGACGGAAGAAGGATGAAGCGATCAAGAGGAAAGACGTTTAGCGGCGAATCGCGAGAGACCGCTTAACCCTGTAACGCGTAACAGCACTGGAGACTAAATGGCGGAAACTCGTTTTGATCGATCAACGAACAAACGCAACGACAAGGAAAAGCCGGACGGCGGGCACGAAATAGATAGGAAAGAAATGCGCGGATCGCTCGAAGGAGCGCTATGCTGCGCGAGAAATCGATAATCGATAGCTACGGTAGACCGAAGCTTCTTTTGGCACGCGGCTTCCTTAGATCGCCGAACGGTGATCGGCCATCTTCGGAACGTATCTTACATCTACGTTCGTATTTGGCATTAAATAGAGTGTGTTGAGCAAAGCCGAAGGTACAAAAATTCTTTTGTTTCGATCGCGACCGCGAAGAAGAGTACTTCGCAACGCGAACATAGTAATTTCGATCGGTCGCTCGTTCTACTCGACGAGCGACATCGAAACGAATTTCGCTTGGATAGAGACGCGTCGTGTAACGGCCGCGTATCGCTACTCGTTAACAAAAATAAGTATCGCGTCGACCTTGCGCCGATACACGACGATCCCAGGACGATACCAGGACGATACCAAGACGACGATTCCAGGGCGAGGCGAAAGGATGCCCTAAAAGCGCGCGCGCGCGCACTCCGAAAAGAAACGGTTCGCGCTCCCGTTCGCGATCGATCCGCGATTAGAGTTACGTCGCGAACATCGATGGAACCGTTTCCGGAATTGCGCCAGCGAGAAGCAGCGCGAACCGCGAAACAAAGGCGGATAGCAAGATGCGCGTTTATCGCCTGCGAGATTAACGACCACTTACGTGCTAATACTTTGGAACGACGGTTCTCTCGATCACCGTCCTTTTACGTTCTCGACTTTGGCATCGTTCGTCTCTAGTTAAAAACTACTTAATTCGATAAATAAGTTAAACGCTACTTTTGGACGTTTCGCTTTTGCTTTTTCGTTCGCGCGCCTAATTTCTCGGCGTTACGCGAGTTTACGCGTTCCGCGCGGCTCCTGTTCGCCGCGTTCTTATCGACATTGTTTCGTCGATTTCGGAAAACCGAAACTCGTGCACGGACTTGGACGATCTCTCTTATCCCTCTTCTCTCTGCTCTCTTTCCCTCTTCGGTGCGTCGAATTGCCTCCGTCGGAGGAGAAAAAGAGCGATCAGAGATTTAGCGGCCACGCGAATCGATCGACACCCCTTTTGTTTTACGTGTAGTGTTCGCAATCCCCACACTCGGAGAGCGTGGGTGTGGACGGGCACTAGGTGGGATTCGAATCCTCGTAGGCCTTTTCGTAGTCCCGCCGACGAATCACCGCGAAGTGAGTCATCTGGAAGGAGTTGGTCTTCTTACAGCCACGCTCCAACGTACCCGTCATGCTGTAGCCCATGTTGAAGTCGCTCGACGACACGTTCGACGTCAGGTACAACTGTCGACACGAATAAGAACAAAAAGCGGTCCACCTTCGAATAAGCATAACGCACAGCGACGAGTACGCGTTTCAACGGTCAACGATCGCTACTATTCCCGACGGATGATTCTCTTCTCGGTTTGGCTTTACTCGCGTTTAATTATCACCGTCTTTCGCGCGTTCACTTTATCGGCGATACGGCTAGGTAGACCGGGATCGAATTCGAAAGGTACCTTGAAATCGGGATCGGTCGTCATCCTTTTGAAAGAGCCGACTATGTAAAGCGTGCCCGTTCCCGTGTCCACCATTTTCGCTTGAGTGCTGTACCTGCAACAGCAATTAATTCGATGAGTAAAGCACTCGGAGAAAGCGACGACGCGACGCGGCAAAATGAAAAACGCGGTTTTGAACCGGTGGAAATTTGACCAGTTTATTAACGGCGCTCGAGATTTTTGCGACGTTGTTTGTCGGAAAGGCGCGATCGAGGTATCGAATATATTAAGAAAACGATCAACGTATCGCGACAGAGCTTTAATCGAGTGAATCGGTAATACGATTACGAGAACGGAAAAAAGTTGTATCGCGGAATGAAAGAAGAGAACGTCGGCGACGATCCAAGAGAAAACGATCCAAGAATAATTAATAACGGGAGAGAAGCGAGAGAGTAGGTTGGAGCATTTTTGGAAGCAAAAGGATCGGACGGGTCTGATGGGTGAAGGTGAGCGAGGAACGGGTAACGAGCGGTCGAGAAGAAGAGAGAGGAAGCAGAAGAGGGCGCGACTCTCCCCGGTGACTCGAGGGGCTTATTCCGGCGGCCGCTTCAACCGGCGACGATCATTAAAAGTTTAAACGCTCTCCATTCAAGTGCGGCGGATCCAACACTCGGTTTAAAATCCACCGTGGCTGCTGGTGCTTTGACTTTTCCACCGGCCCTCGATTCGCTTCACAAAGGAAACTTTTAACCGAACCACCCGACTCGACGTTCGACCTGGCCTCGGCACGCTGCATCTACGCGCTTCGATTGTCCCTCGCGCTCTGTGCCGCGAGATCGCTATCCTTTCTTTCCTTTCCGCCTTTTACTTTTTCTTCGCGCTCGATTTCTCCGTCAGAGATCGACGCCCGGCGAACAGAGATCGTTCGAACGATGCGGGTCGCCAATTGCGAATTACGAGTTTCGACGACGAACCGACAGAATCGTTCCCCGAAGCGGAAACGGCAAGCTTTGACCGGTGTCGCGTGCGAGCGTGGTCCGAGCTCGCAAACAGTCGCGTATTTGCGTTGCGGTGCGGTGGGAAAGTTCGAACGAGAGCCACTCCTAAATGGAATATTTAGGAGAGTTCGCGAGACCGCGATTTAGGGGCGGAGAAAATCGAAATCGATGCTACGGAGAACGAAACGACGGCTTTTTTTCGAGACAAAAGAGTTGGCGCGAGCGCGATAACGCGTCCGGTGGAAAACCGATTCGGAGTGACCACCGGTAAGAAGGAAATGGGAGATAGTCCACGTAATCCAAAAGCGCAAACTTCTATCCGCGAAAGGAATACGATTACGATTCGAACGACGCCGTTATCCGACGCGACGATGGTCGATGGACACTTACCTCCTCGTGCCAGCAACTTCGACCACTTTGCATCGACTTCGACTCCACCAGAACGGTGTCAAAGTCCAGTAGGAACTGCTCGCGCTTCTCGCCCAACCCTCTTCCGGGAACAGAAGCACCTGCGACACACAGAAGCGTTCGGTGCTACGTACTGTGTACTGTTTTCAGATCTCGACTAGAGATTATCGAGACGAATCGTCGAAATTTTTCGAACGAACACGTTCTTCGAGTCGCTAGAATCGCGTTTATCGCCTATTCCGAAGAGGAAAAGCTACGATAAGTCTTATTTAGTTGTTTGCGCGCGACCATTCCCACTTTCGTACGGATACGCTCGAATCGAATCGGACGGTATCTAGTCGCCGTTCCTGCGTTCGTGTACTTTGCCTACCCTACGCACCTCGGATATACCGGTTAATCCGATAATCCGTTCTTTCGCTCCATTGCCCCGTCGATCGCTCTATTCTTGTCTCCTCTTCGACGCTACCGGCGTCATCGTCGACGTCTCCCGCCACTGGTTACCTTGTCTTTCCAGTCGCGCCTGTTCTACCTATTCGCACGCTTCCCTCCTACGGTTGATTCTTGTTCTCGGTAGCTGTCAACCACCGAGTCGACGCTGACGAGTCGAAAAACGTTCAAACGAAATTCCTCGAATCGAGTAAACGATCGAAACGTCTGGAGCCTATACCGATTCGCACGTTGGCTGCCTCGCGAGAAAGTCTCGCGAACGCGAAAACCGTTTCTGGACGGAAAGGAACAAAAATGTCGCAAGCGGTAAAGAAATTTCTCGTTTAGTAATTTCTCTGTCTTTCACGTTGGCGAGCAACGAAAGCCCAAGTGGTCGGGTTCCCAAGGACAAAGCACCGAGTATTTTCTGGGTTAGTTGCCCGAGAAAACGGTAGCGCGACGGCACGATACCCTTCCAGACAATAAATGTATGTACCCTTATGTTTATACATAGCATGCGCGGCAGCTATGTACAAGTTAGATTAAATCCGACTCTGTACGAAATCCCAGAAATCACGGCACCTACCGATCCGTGCGACGCGACGCCACGGTCAGCGATACTTTACACCTGTCACGCTACGAACCTAATTAGACGCGACGGGCTCAGCCTCGCACGCGCCACCAACAGCCGTTCAACGAAACGACCGACCGCCTATTTTCCTTTCGGTACGGCGTGTAAGCTGCTAGAGATTTCGCGACGCTAATTAAATCTTGACGCGACGCGACGCGACGCGACGCGACTCGTTAACGCGTTAGCCGTATACGTGAACATTACGAATCAAAGCGTTCGATTTAACGATTTGCCTCGATTCGCTGCTCGGAATTTCAATCGAAACATAGAGGAATTTGAGCGAAGATTCGATCTTTCCAGGAGCTCCGCGATAGTTGTTCTCTGTTCGATTTAATAGACTCCGCTCGTTAGATTCGCTCGACTACTTTTCGTTCGAAGGTGGTTCGTCGGTGGTGGATAGACGGTCGCGGCTTGGCTCGATTCCGATCGATCCCTTTGACATCGAGCTCCTTCGAAATTGAAGCGGTCCCCTCCATCCGCTTTCTTCCGTACAGTTTCTTTCGTTCCGCGATCCAAACAATTACTCTGTGGAACTCCCCATTCGTTTCGATCGCGTTCTCGCTAACGTTGTTTTAGGCTACCGTCCGATCAGGAATAATCGTAAGCAGAGGAAGAACCGCGAACACGAAACGAAAGCGGAGGAAAGAGGAAAGCGGAAGCGCTCGGTCGATCGTACGGCTTGACCGTGATTCGATCGTTTACTCGTGAAAGGGTTGCGAAAAGTAGATCCGGTTAAGGATATAGCGGGTAACGGATAACGGGAAACGGGAGAAGAGATAGGGGAAAGGGGTGACGGGTGACGAGTGACAGGAAACGTGCCGCGGGTCAGAATAGGCGGGAGACGGAAGCGGAGGTTGGGAGCATCGTAGGGTTGAAGCGCGGTGTAGTAGGGACTTAAACAAAAGAGGGTCGTTAGAAACAAGTGGCGCCGATTAAAAACGCCGACGCCACTCATCGACAAACACGCCGCGTTACTCTTCGACTTTGCTTTTCTTCCTTCCCGATAACGTTTCATTTTCCTCTCAGTCTTTTTTCATCGTTTTAACTTAACGGATCGATCGATCGATGTTTTCGTACGACGAGGCGCTACGAAAAGCGTCTCTCCAACTGGGTTCGCGATCGATCGGGGATCGAGTAGTACAACGTTCGTTGACGAATAAACTTTTTGCTCGTAGTGTACGATTACGGTACGACGATGGTCGAGAAAGAAGGTGTTGCCGATTACTAGGATAAGAACGGCGCGAGAACGGCACGAGAACGGCGGGAGAACGGCGGGAGAACGGCGGGAGAACGGCGGGAGAACGGCGGGAGAACGGCGGGAGAACGGCGGGAGAACGGCGGGAGAACGGCGGGAGAACGGCGGGAGAACGGCGGGAGAACGGCGGGAGAACGGCGGGAGAACGGCGGGAGAACGGCGGGAGAACGGCGGGAGAACGGCGGGAGAACGGCGGGAGAACGGCGGGAGAACGGCGGGAGAACGGCGGGAGAACGGCGGGAGAACGGCGGGAGAACGGCGGGAGAACGGCGGGAGAACGGCGGGAGAACGGCGGGAGAACGGCGGGAGAACGGCGGGAGAACGGCGGGAGAACGGCGGGAGAACGGCGGGAGAACGGCGGGAGAACGGCGGGAGAACGGCGGGAGAAAGGAGGAAGAAAGCGTAGGATTGATCAGGGTGGAGGAAGGGCGGCGAGCGGGCAAAGTCGGGCAAAGAGGGCGTACCGAGAGAGAGCTCGAGGTCGAGTAATCGCGTGACTCGTGAGACTGGGTCGAGGGACGTCGCGAAAGGTCTATCGTAGCACCGCGACCGTAACGTCCTGCGACCTACATCAACGAAAGCGCGAGGATACATTATTACTATCATCGGAAAGCAAAGCTCCGATGGTGCGACGGCCGTAGGGTGTTTCAGGGTCGGTTGCCATGGCAATGCGCTGGGACAGCCACGGGGTGCAGCCTGGAATATCCACCCTCTTGCCTCTTTTCCGCGATTCTCCCTGCTTCCCCCTACGTTCGCCTCCCTCTTCGCTTCTTCCTCGTCCGTTTCCCTTCTACCCCTTTCCTACGTGCCACATCCTTTCCACCACCCACGATCCCCTATACCTCCTCTTCTGGCCTCTCGCTCTCTCCTGTTACCGTTACCGTTCCTGCTCCTGCCGTTACTCCGAGTTTTCGAACCCTCTCCCACTCTCGTCCTTTTCCAAAGGACGTCTCTCTCGCGTCGCTATCGTTCGGCCGATGGACTTGCTCCTCTTCCGTTGCTTTCTCTCGCAACGCGCCGCACCGTAGCGCACCGCGCCGCCTCTGTTCCGACGTCTCCGCTGCTCCGTCTAATCGCGCTACTCGCGTGCGCTTTATTTCGTCGGATCGGATTTTATCGGCTCGCGCTTTCGTCGCGTTGCCTCGTCGCGTTGTCGCGATCGATGACGCGTGGCTGACGCACACGTTGGGACGGAAGAAACGTACACGAGTGGCCGACTGGGGCGCGGAAAACAGCGTAACGACGCGGTAACTTTGGAAATTCGCTCTTCTTTCGTCGATTCGCGGCGCGGTTCGTACCGGGGAAGGGCAAAGGAGGAAGAAAGCGTAGGATTGATCAGGGTGGAGGAAGGGCGGCGAGCGGGCAAAGTCGGGCAAAGAGGGCGTACCGAGAGAGAGCTCGAGGTCGAGTAATCGCGTGACTCGTGAGACTGGGTCGAGGGACGTCGCGAAAGGTCTATCGTAGCACCGCGACCGTAACGTCCTGCGACCTACATCAACGAAAGCGCGAGGATACATTATTACTATCATCGGAAAGCAAAGCTCCGATGGTGCGACGGCCGTAGGGTGTTTCAGGGTCGGTTGCCATGGCAATGCGCTGGGACAGCCACGGGGTGCAGCCTGGAATATCCACCCTCTTGCCTCTTTTCCGCGATTCTCCCTGCTTCCCCCTACGTTCGCCTCCCTCTTCGCTTCTTCCTCGTCCGTTTCCCTTCTACCCCTTTCCTACGTGCCACATCCTTTCCACCACCCACGATCCCCTATACCTCCTCTTCTGGCCTCTCGCTCTCTCCTGTTACCGTTACCGTTCCTGCTCCTGCCGTTACTCCGAGTTTTCGAACCCTCTCCCACTCTCGTCCTTTTCCAAAGGACGTCTCTCTCGCGTCGCTATCGTTCGGCCGATGGACTTGCTCCTCTTCCGTTGCTTTCTCTCGCAACGCGCCGCACCGTAGCGCACCGCGCCGCCTCTGTTCCGACGTCTCCGCTGCTCCGTCTAATCGCGCTACTCGCGTGCGCTTTATTTCGTCGGATCGGATTTTATCGGCTCGCGCTTTCGTCGCGTTGCCTCGTCGCGTTGTCGCGATCGATGACGCGTGGCTGACGCACACGTTGGGACGGAAGAAACGTACACGAGTGGCCGACTGGGGCGCGGAAAACAGCGTAACGACGCGGTAACTTTGGAAATTCGCTCTTCTTTCGTCGATTCGCGGCGCGGTTCGTACCGGGGAAGGGCAAACGAGACTTTTTCATTCGGATATCTTTAATCGCGCCGACACAAAGAATGTCTGGCTCGCTGAAAGTCGGAAGCGTTTCGTTCAAAACTATTCGACGAGCTAGACGAAGCTGCTTCACCCTCGCGAGACTGCCGAGGCTGTTGGAACGCGTTCGCGCGTCTCGGTATATCTCTTTCTCGAAATAACGTAAACGAAAATGCCGGCGACGTTGTTTCCTCTTGACTGAGAGAGGGGAAACGATAAATAGTAATCGTAATCGTTAACGCGTTCCGAACCGAAGAATACGCGTCGTACGTAGAATCGACTAGGTAAGCTTTTTTTCGGAGGTTCGATGCAACGTTTTACCGGCGATCGGAGTATCTCGTCGCGAGGATTCTGCGTGGAACGGCAATTTTCTTTTCCCCCCCGGTTATCGAAGAAGAATTCGATTCGATCGTGCGAAACGAGATTCGCGTCCCCTTCGCGAAAGAAGGGGGAATTCGACGCGGAGAAGAAGGCTAATAAATGGCCAGAATGAATAATAACTCGGTTATTGAAAGAAAATTCCGACCGATACGAGTTCTGAAAGTTGGAGGCATTAGCCCAGTTCCACGAGCTACGCGGATAAGGCATCGACTCGCTTCTCCTTCTCTCAGCCCGTTTTCTCTCCTCTTTCTCCTCTCGACCACCCAGTCTCGACCCTCTTTTGCCTTTCGTCTTCGGAGTTCTCCGACTATACGCTTTGGCTGCCGTTACCGACGTCCCAACCTATCCTCCGTGTGCTTGCCTTCGAGCCACGTCCGCATAATGGCTATTCAGATAGCGAATCGATTTATTTCCCCGGGGGCTTTAGGATACTTGGAACCTCTCTCCGCGTGAACTTGGAACGGTTCCGACGTTCTTCTTGTTCTTTCGTTCGGCAATATCCCGAAAGTTATATCGAACGTCGCGTGGAACCTTCGTCGCGTACGGTCACCGCGAACGATCGTTTCGAACGTGTTCCAGTTAATCCCGATAGTCTTGGGAGAAACTGTGTCCGTCCGTAACCGATCTTTTCTCGATCGTCCGAATGTTCGACGGGAAAACAGGATCCGAAAGAAAAGAAGCGAAACGGACGAACGAAGATCGTACCGAACCTTTCGGACGTAGCTCGTGAGTCGTACGCGAATAAAATGAAACGAGTCTTACCTTGTTCGGATAGCCGTTGTATCTGAGGAGCTTCTTGCAGCATTTGCCGCGATTTTCGTAATAAAACATCTGGACCATCTCTGCGCGATCGGTCGCGGCACTGACGGTGAACGGTGCACCGTCGTTTCCGAAACTCCTCGACGAGGAGGCCGATTGTTGTTGAGCCGATGATTCTCGGCGGCCGAGCGGCACGCACGGACACCACCCCGAGACCATCACACCGATCGACCCGGATCAACCCTGATCTACCCTTTCCACCTACCACGATCCTTTCCGCTTACGATCAATCTCGCTTCTCATTCTTTCTTCTTCCTCCGACTCGCTGTATCCTCGTCGGCTCTTTAACTTTACACGTCAGCGGTTAGCTCGGCTCGAACAATTTTTCACCGTTCTTTGCTACTCTCTTCTTTCTCCTAGACAAATACCTCGACAAATAACTCGGTTTCCTCCGTTTCCGGCGATGCCTGACTCGTTGTTGTCCTCGACGTCGTCGCAACGTTGAAATTACGTTGCTTTCGACGAGATTATCGATCCTCGACGGCTCGTTCACGATTCTCAGACGCGACCTGAAAAAAATATCGAACGTCGATCGGCGTCAGAATCGACTCGGTCTCGAGGTTAACGAGCAACGAGCTATGCGCGCGCGAATTTTCTCGAATAATCGCGTCTCTCGATTTGTCGGGTGCAGCCAAAGCTCTCCTCGGACCGAAAACGAGTCCGATACGTACGCGAAGAGGGAATTTGGGAAAATTTTTTCGGTCGATCGTACGGCGATCCGAACGCGTCGAATTAATATCGGAGCCCCGAAGAGAATGCTCGTCGACGTTCGACTAATAAATCGATTATTTCGCGGTCCCTTCCGGCGAACAATTTTTCTAGGCGGTGCGCGTACCGTCGGGAAACGCTAAAAAAACAACGCTCGGATTTGCAATTCATGAGAGGAACCGACGGTATTTGTCGGAGGCAACGATTTTTGCGGAATTTGCTACGCGACCTAGTTCGAGCGCGACACCGCGCTCGAGTCCTTCGTATTTTCGTCTACGTTCTTAGTTTTCGATCATTTGGTTTCGTACTTAACTGCTACTTAAGTACGCGTAGCGCGTAACGATCGCGATCGAAAACACGAAAGTACGAAGATCGAAATCGGGAAATTTATCGGACGTAACGATCGAGAGGACGCTTATTCGTTCGAACGAGAAGACGCGCGCGAGCGATAGGACGCGTCTAAAGGCGAAATCGATCGTTCGGTGGGTCGATATCGATCGATTCTCGCAGTCGACGTCCTCTTCGCGCGAAACGATTCGAGCGTTGATCAACCGCAAAAAACCGTCGATGCGTTTTATACGGAGCTCTCGATAGAGGATGACCGACTGGACCGAACTGGACCGTCGATGCGTCCAAGGGTCAGAGGGTCAGAGGGGAAGGGGGATGCGGCTAATGGAAACCGCAGCTACGGCGAACTCTCGGAAAATCGGACGGAAACTCGCGCTTCTGACCGATCCGTACGCGTTACCAGATCCACCGTTACCAGATACGGTAAACCGGTATCGAACGATGCGGTTTTATTCCGCGGCACGTTCAATCGAACCTCGCCGCTCGATCTCGACGAGTCATCGTCCCGCGTTGCTCTATCGTTTCTGCGCGAATCCGAATGGAAACCGCGTTTTACCTTCTCCTCGCTGTTCTTTCCCGATGGCGCCGCGTTACCTGCCTTCTCTACTCTTCGCTTATCGAGCTAATTACTCCGCGAGTACGATCTCCTGGAATATTCTATTTCGTCCGTCGTTCGTTCGAACCACGCGTTACGAGAAGAGCACACAGCGATAGTCGGAAAAATAAATTTCGACCTCGATAAACGTTTCGTAGGAGTCGAGGACGGTAAAGTCTGTTTCGAGAGTGTCCGAGAAAATTTCGATTCGCCCGAAGGAAATCCACTTTCACCGAGAATAGTAAAATGATCGGTTTCGTCGCAGGAAACGTAAAAACGTCCGAGCCGTACGAAAGATCCGGTAAACGAATAAAGAAATTTCGTGGTAAAAATCGAACGGAACAGGCTTTGGATAGATACGGTAGCGCGTAATCGCGACGATAGATTCTAAAAGCGCGGTCTCTTCGTATTTTCGTCTACGTTCTTAGTTTTCGATCATTTGGTTTCGTACTTAACTGCTACTTAAGTACGCGTAGCGCGTAACGATCGCGATCGAAAACACGAAAGTACGAAGATCGAAATCGGGAAATTTATCGGACGTAACGATCGAGAGGACGCTTATTCGTTCGAACGAGAAGACGCGCGCGAGCGATAGGACGCGTCTAAAGGCGAAATCGATCGTTCGGTGGGTCGATATCGATCGATTCTCGCAGTCGACGTCCTCTTCGCGCGAAACGATTCGAGCGTTGATCAACCGCAAAAAACCGTCGATGCGTTTTATACGGAGCTCTCGATAGAGGATGACCGACTGGACCGAACTGGACCGTCGATGCGTCCAAGGGTCAGAGGGTCAGAGGGGAAGGGGGATGCGGCTAATGGAAACCGCAGCTACGGCGAACTCTCGGAAAATCGGACGGAAACTCGCGCTTCTGACCGATCCGTACGCGTTACCAGATCCACCGTTACCAGATACGGTAAACCGGTATCGAACGATGCGGTTTTATTCCGCGGCACGTTCAATCGAACCTCGCCGCTCGATCTCGACGAGTCATCGTCCCGCGTTGCTCTATCGTTTCTGCGCGAATCCGAATGGAAACCGCGTTTTACCTTCTCCTCGCTGTTCTTTCCCGATGGCGCCGCGTTACCTGCCTTCTCTACTCTTCGCTTATCGAGCTAATTACTCCGCGAGTACGATCTCCTGGAATATTCTATTTCGTCCGTCGTTCGTTCGAACCACGCGTTACGAGAAGAGCACACAGCGATAGTCGGAAAAATAAATTTCGACCTCGATAAACGTTTCGTAGGAGTCGAGGACGGTAAAGTCTGTTTCGAGAGTGTCCGAGAAAATTTCGATTCGCCCGAAGGAAATCCACTTTCACCGAGAATAGTAAAATGATCGGTTTCGTCGCAGGAAACGTAAAAACGTCCGAGCCGTACGAAAGATCCGGTAAACGAATAAAGAAATTTCGTGGTAAAAATCGAACGGAACAGGCTTTGGATAGATACGGTAGCGCGTAATCGCGACGATAGATTCTAAAAGCGCGGTCTCGAGTCGTTCTACGAGCTAACGTCAGGCTCGTCGACGCGGTAAAGCAGCTGTTAAGAAACGCGAATCGGTGAACGTTAATAAGGAAAGAATCGCGCGCAAACGTAAGAACATCGTCCACGGAGGAGACGTTTCCGACAACGCGAGGACTAGGAAAGCGTCGTCGAGCGTGCGTGCGGCGCGCGATAAGAGAAAAATCTCGAGATCGAACGAACGTACCTCGATTCCAAGGCGGTCGATGCGCGGCTGACCAACGAGTCCGTGACGATCGGTCCATGGCCGCGTAATACGCTGCCGTTTTTCCGGCGGATCCACTCTCAGATAGTCTGGTTCGCGTGAACCGCGCGAACGACGGGAGCCATGAGAAGGGAAATAGGAGACGCGAAGGCGAAAAGGGTCGAAGGCGAGGAATCGAAGGAGAAACCGTAAGGAATCGTAAGGAGGGGGAGAAGAGAAGGAAAACGCGGCCGAGCGGATAGGAAAAGGGCTAAAAGACGAAAGAGAGACGAAAAGTCGGTAGAGAGAGGTAGAGAGAGGTCGGGAGAGGTAGAGAGAAGAGCAATCGTTGGGAAGGAAAGCGAACGGATTCGAGGAAATTTCGGGCGAAACCGACGTGTTCTCGATTCGAGGGGAGAAAAGCAGCGGAGTAAGGAGTAAAGTAAGAGCGAAACGAGATTAAATCGAAATCGAGAAAATGTCGCGTTCGAGACGGCGCGGCGAGCGAACGCGAACTAAAGGGTACACGGGCTCGTCGGCTCGTCGCGCTCGACGTCGCGCTCGACGACGAGCGGCGCTTTCTTCCCCTCGACGGCGCAGGACAGACTGACGATTCGCCACCCGCCGACCGTTCCATCGCCGAACCCTTCACCCCTCTTTATCCCTCTTTCCCTTCCCGGCAACCCCTTTCCCCTTTCGGCCGCTGCCGCCACCACCACCGCCATCATCCTCGCCACCTCCGTTCCTCCGTCCCTACACCCCTTGCTGCTACTCTTCTCCTCCCTCTGTTCGCCTCCAGCACGCGTGCCTTCCTTCGCTACTTCCGTCCTTCCGTTCTCTCGTTTCATCGTTCTGTCTGTCCTTTCGACGAAGCCGAATTCCTCGAACACACGGACCGGATTCCCCGTCGGACAGACGATGATCCGCGATACCGATTCGTCCGTGTACGTCTTCCCGGACGACTAATAATCGTCTCGGCGGTCGCTCCGCTGCGCCTTCTTTCCGGAGGTCCGGAAAGTGGCTCTTTTACGAATAATAATTTCGGTAAAACCGCGCGTTAACGGAGAGGCACGTTAACGCGTCGCGAAATAATCGGTCGCGGTCCATGCGCGATACGAAGTCGCGCACGCGCTTCCCGTAAATCTCGTCGATTTAGCCGGGTCGTTCTTCTTAATCCTTTCTTCGCTCGCGATTATCGTCGCAATCGACTTTCGAACGAGATCGGTCCAGTTCGTTTCGAGAAAACGTAGCCGTACGTAAGTAGTCTCGAAAGCTCGGCAGCCGGCGAGACGAAAGTTTCCCGCTAAGCTCGGTTTCGTCGCGTTTCTATCTTTAGACGCGTTCGAGGACAGGGGACGAACGTGTCGCGCAAACAATATTTCAATCGTCCTCCATTGTCCGTGATCCGTAGCTTCGTGATCGGAGCTCGTCTCGATCGAACGACTAAACTCGATTAATTCGTTTCGAAGGAAACGTAATTCCTTGTTTTTCGATCGATCGTCGTCGATAAGCGAGGATGGATATCGCGGAAATAAAAGGTAGATTTCTGCGATGTACGAGAAACGAAACGTCGCGTGGTGACGCGCGCCAACTCGTATTCGACGATCCGACTCGAAAGCATCGACGCGTTAAATTGCCAGCCATCCTCTCGTTCCTCCCGTTAGGTTCGCACGATACGACAGCTAAACAGAATTTTGCTCTTCGTAGTTTCTTCCGCGGTTCCGCCGATCGAAATTTGCTGTACGAAAAACGATGCGCCGCATGCCCGTTCGTTCGTTTCGGTTTCCCGACTATTTTATCGAAATGCCACGCACACGTACGCGCGTCGATACAATTTCGAAACGCGCAA